ATTAAAAAAAATCAAATTAAAAAAGCCTTGTATATTACTGAGGACAGAACTCCATCCCATTACTGGATCAAAGAATCCTACCTCCCCAACACCCAACTGCTAGAAAAACCACATATGTTCTGCCCAGAAGAGTAAGTGACATGTCTTCAGGATTCCTGAGTACAGTTCCCCTCAAGTTCCTTAAGTAAGTTTGCAAGACCAAAACCTAAAAAGCATCGGTCACATAGAAACAAAAGAGTTTGATATTTGGCTGCAGACTAAACAATGCAAAAAGAAATATTTATACTGCTTTTGAGGGGAAGACTGCACCAAAATAAGCTGCATTTTTCCTTTCTGACATGTAACAGTGGGGAAAAAATCAAAGAAAATAAATTTATGCTAGAATTGCCCTGGAGCTTGGGTGAAAAGCCCAAGTCTGGTAAAGAAACCTGAAGTTTACAGCCTGTTGTCCATTCTGCTCATGAATGGCAGAGGTTTTTAAAAAGCCCAATGGTTTGCAAGTTACGAAAGCAATGAGCAAGCTCAAGCACACCCTCTGAGTAGAGCACTTACCCTAGCTGACAGCCCCAGAGAGCAGAGTCCTGCTAGCCACAGAAGGGCCAGCACTACAGGAAACATTTTCCTCCCTCACCAGGATTTCACAAGATTTAACTCAGTTTTTTGCAGAGTTTCTGACCCTTTGATTTAAGCTATTATAGTAATGCAACACATCTGGAAAGACTCCTCTTCAGAGCAGGGAATTTATATTACCCATTCTATCTTTGCTGCCTCTACTAAAGCTACCAAGAAGTACTTAACTGAAATTTGGAAGTGGACAAAGGCCAATGAACAACATTGAACCCAGACTTTTGGAGAATATCAGTCTCAGATGGGCCCATTTCTTGGCAAGAATTAAGACAAAGAACAACCAGTTAAAGAAAAATGAATATTCTCTCCATCTTTGCCTGTCTTTCATTTTGCCTCCCACTCCAGCCCACAGTTATCAGCATATTCATACTCATCCTTGTTTGCTTCTAACCGATTAACTCCCATATAATCACAAAGTTATGCATGTAAAGTTACATTCCAGTCATGTATTTGGTTTGACACATGCAACATTAATTAAATGCTTTAACCCTCAAACAGTGCCTCTTGCTCCATATTTGTCATCTGAAGAAGTGGGTTGTGCCCACGAAAGCTCATATCATCTATATTTTTTTGGTTAGTCTCTAAGGGTACATCTACACTGTACTGCTATTTAGCTACCCTGCATCTTAACAAGCTGCTCATTATTTCGAAGTACTTTCTGGTGTGCTATTTCGGTATCCCTGCAAACCTCATTCCACAAGGGTTAAGGGATGTCTCAAGATAGTGTTATTTCAAAATTTGGCGCTGTGTATACGCGCCAAATTACAAAATAAGCAATTTAGAGTTTACAGTGCTGTGTAGATGCACCCTAAGGTGCTACAGAACCATTTTTTAAAGTTTTTGGGGGGGGGGCATAATTTATGTTATTTGGTTTACAAAGGCTGGATTCTAATCCCCTCGGGAAGTATTTGGGAAGGAGTCATCTGCATTGTAAAAATCAAGCCTTGACTCAATGACTTTTTTTTGGATGGGAGAGTGGGAAGAGGAGGAAAAAGGGAAGTGCCAAAATCTCTTCTCTGAGGACAAATACACACAGTTTTGTTGACAGTCTTTCTACATCACTTTGTTACAGAGGTAGCATAGGGCATAGCAAAAGGATATGTGCCACACTAACATAGAAGACAACAGCTCTTAGAGCTCTTTGTAAGGAATAACAACCTTAGGCATTCTACTGGATTAAGAAGTTTAAATTAAATGGTTCTTCAATTTTATAATTTTGTTTACTGAATCTTGTTCCTTAAGAACCAACATTATTCAGTCCTGTTTATTCTCTAATTTAATCCTACTGCCTTGTTCACTCAAAACAAAATTTCATATAATACAGATATTAAACTCACCAAGTTTAGATGGCTCTTGGGCAGATTTTTCAGCTGTTTTACTGTTTTGGGTTCCGGCCTCAGTTCCTAGCCATTCAGAGAAAGCAACACAGGAATTCCTATCAGTACTGATTGTTTATTTACAGTACAGCACGGGCAGATGAGCAGTTAAAAAACGTCAAAAACCCCAGAATTTTATAATAAAATAAAACTATCAAAGCAAATTGGTTGATGCTCTAAAGTTTCATTAGCATAAATTCTGTAGGTACATTTTGTAAGTAACTATGGCCAAACAACTTGTCTGGTGCAAAGCAGCCCTTCCGCCCCCTCATTTGGCTATTAGCAATTACTTTAAAAAAAATTAACATGTACTGACAATTCCATGTTAACAATACCTGACAAAGGTATTGTAACATCAGATAACTAATTTCTGGTGTTTTAAGTAGTGGGCAGTAAACCAAGCTGTGCACTAAGGGCAGCAAATTCTGTCTTACACAAGCACAAGAGGGCAGATCCTTGAGCATCTGCCCCAAGAAGCTCCCACTGAAGTCTCCATGGTGCTGCATGAGCATATCTTGGAGCAAGCCATTGGGCAGTTTGGGGAAGCTACTCGGGTGCCGAGTATGGGCAGCAAGGGCCAGCAATGTGGCTGGGAGCCAGATATGGGGAAGTGCAGTAGGCTGGGGCCAGAATGCTTCACTTCCCACCACCACACAGTGAGTGCAGGGGGCCCCTGACCTCTTGCTGCTGGTCCCAGCCCCTCCATCCATCCCCCAGGCCACATTGCTTTGGGAAGGGTTTTGGGGGAAGGGGTGAATAGGGGCAGAAAGAGGCAGGGTTGTCCCAAGTCCCGCATCCCACTGGGGATGGCACTGTCTAGGGCAAAGCCTGGCTGTTTGAATTGAGAACAGCCTAAATGGGAAAGAGAGGAGCTCTACTATTAGCTACTCTTTGAATATTGCTCAGCCAGATGCAAATAGGCTAAAAGGCTTTAATGGAGTCCAACACCAGAAGGGACCATTGTGAGGATCTGGTCTGACCTGAGTAACACTGGACATAGAACTTCAGCTCAAAAATTCCTACAGCATCTCATCTTCAACAGCCCTTTAGAAGGCCTCTTAGAAGTCAGTTCTACAATAATGACCCAAGACAATGCAGCTCACCACACAGGAACTGCCATATTTGAGGTGCTTATATTTCACAAGGAGTTTCCTGTCATCACCTGTTCCTCAGAAAAGTTTTAGTGCTTGGTAAAAATCCTGACACCAGTTATTTCTTCAAGAAGCCTTGATCAGGATCTAAAATAAAACACTGGATTTTACTTAGGTTCAGTTCTACCACCACCAATTCCAGGGAAAGCTCTACTGGATGTTCACAGGACTCCTCAAGTCTGTTCTTGCCTACTTTATGCACTGGTTTTAAAGAGTCAAGCTATCCCTCACTGCTCTCAGGGACTCTCCCATCTGTGTATCCAATTGAATAGATGTGGATTATAAATCACTCCTCTGAAAGCTACCAAATGCACATATGCAAATATTCTAAGCAAGAGAAAACAGGGATAAGTTCTGAAGCCCAGAAAAATCTGAGGTACCTAATGTGTTGAGAAAATTGGTCAGCTACTGTGGACTCACAACGTGAGCTTATTTATCTGAAGCTGGAAATCTGAGATTGTATTTTGTGAAGCCACATTAGATCTGCAGAGGGGACCAGACTGAAGTTTCTACTCAGAATCTGGTATCATATTTTATCGTGCTTCCCTTTCTCAATAGTGCCAAGAACCTCTATGAAGAAGAAAATAGCACATCTCCTTGAACTATTTTTCCTGGAACCAGGCTTTCCTGAGCACATCTCTGTCTTGTTAGAACCTCCAAAAAGCCTCAATGGTTGTAATGCATATGCCAGATCAGTGCCCTACTTGCAGGTTGCTTTACATGGGGAGTCATCACTTATCACAAGGTACTGAACTGCAATCCACTGTGGTTTTGTAGTTAGCATTTTGGCAGTGAAAATCATAGCCTTGGAGTGTCTATTTTAAAAATTACTGAGGGACTGATCACCCCCAAACAAAGGAAATATCATTCCCTTAATTACAGATTCCTACTCAGTGCACAAATCATAAGGTTAAGAAGGCTTCCTCTCCCACTCCTTTTCTGTGTAGATGAAGCTTATGGACAAAGCTATAAAGGAGTAGAATACCCTTTTACAGGATGAACCTCTAAACAAGGACACACTGGTCTGGCAACATCCATGGTCCAGCAGCCCTGCTGAGGTGGTGGCAGCAGGGTGGCATTGGCCTCCCCTGGTCTGGCAAACTGCTTTGTTCAGCACTGTTCAGGTCCCGAGAGTGCCAAACCAGGGGGGGGGGGGAGGGGGTTCAAACTGCATTTCATACTCCCTAATAAAGATTTACACCAAGACATTTTCAGATATTTTGCCGTGTCTCATTTTTGTTGGCATCAAATTTTCTCTCCCTGCCATGTAAAAACGTTAACATGCTTGCCCAATAGCATAAAGCATTTTGACAATTGATGCATTCAGCTTTCAGCGCACAAAAAGATGCAAGCCTTGAACATCTCTGCAACACTTTTGTGGATGCAAAGCTCAGTGGGCATCAACATACCTCTAGTAGCTGCTACAATTCTTCATCAGCATCAGATTAATATCTGATTATAAAGCAGAAGTAGAATGACTGGTACAATTCCAAACACCTCAATTTGACAAACTTTGTTTCAGTTTGTACCATACTGAATTCATAGCTTGTGTGCCTCACGTGTAACAGCATATGCTCTGCCTTGCCTTGCAGACGCAGGTACATACATATTGAATTCTGCTTTTTGCTGAACACGGTGGTGATTCTCAATGGCTTCTGCTTTTTATTTATACTGTTGGAGCCAATTCTAAAATCATACAATTATATAAAAAGTTTTATTCCGCTATGCACCATTTTAAGGAAAAGTAAAAGCGAATTTGTTTACACAATGACAAAACTTTTCTTGCCCAAATTTAATGCATGACACAGAGAACAGATCATAGAATTAAAAGAAAAATCAGCCAAAATAATTTGACTCAGCATTCATCTTGCAGATTACTCTATAGAATTTAAATAAGTTCTCTAAATGAAGAATGGAGCAGTCAGGCCTTTGTGACATGGTCACATAGGAACTATGATATTCTTGGCCAATAAAAAGAGGAGGGCAAGGGTTGCATTCCCACCAGCTTGCTCCAAAGCTTCAAGAGCTTCTTGCAGGGTAAAGCCAGCTTTCAGAATCTGATCAATGTCAGCGGCAGGAAAAACAGGCAGCGGAAGGACTCTGGAGCTCAGTTCCAGGTTGCTGATGGATGGGCAAAGCAAAGGCTCCACAAGTCCTTGTGGAGGCCTTGGATTCGCAGAGTTTGAGGAACTGTCAGGTATTTCAGACACTTCTGTTAACAGGCTCGGAGCATCTTCCTCCACCCTGAGGTCAGGTGAACACAGTCTGTTCAGCTCTAACGTCTGACTGGCTGGAACTTGGTCATTTACTAAGCACTCAGGTAAAATTTCGTTACTCTGCAGGTGATCAAGTGTTGCAACTGAGCTCAGAATGACAGAATTACTCTTACTGGATGACCTCTGTATCTCTACAGCATCTTTTTCAATAGTTGATTGGCTGCTATTTAAAACCTCAAAGCTATCATTTTCTGTTTTCATAGCACAAGATGGTGTCCCCGCTAGCCCTTCAGGGTTCACATGTTCAGGCATCACCATACGAAAAGAGCAATCTAGATCCCCGCTCTCTGGATCCAAGCTTTCACGTTCATCATCAGAAAGCTCCTTGCATTCCATTTGCTCTTCAGAAACTGTTTCTGGCCCACATGCGTCATCTTCAGGTATAAAAGCAGTAGAATCCCCTTTTCTATTTATAATCAAAAGTTCATGAAGCTCCTTCAATGCTGCTGTTAAAGATAAACAAGACTCTTCAGTGGATGTTGCTGTATCACTGTTCAGCTGACGAATGCCAGAGGAAGAGCTATTTTCAGCTGCTAAATTAGGTAACTCATTACACATTCCAATGATTTCAATGTTCCCCTTAGGCTGCAGTAAATCCATAGTGGAAACTGGATTACTTGAAAATACAGATGTAGAGGAATCATGCTTTGAAGACTCCGTCTGCATCAAAGAACAATCCAAGTTCTGAACAGATCTCCCAATACTCTTCACTTGAGTGCTCTGTTTGCTTGACAAGCTATGCACTGTGACTGCAGACTGTTCAGTTAAATCTGTGTTCATGAAGATGTCTGTATGTGCATCACCACAGAATGCTGACCCTGGGATATTATCTTTCCCGCAAGAAAGCTCTATCTTCTCCAGCTCACCTTCTCTTCTCTCAGCAAGAGAGTCAACAGGGGATTCTGGCTGGATGTTTATAAGGCCCTGCTGCCCCACAGCAGGTAACTCAAGGCCACTGACATTCCAAGGGTGTTCTGGGTCAGCTGGTTCATTCTGTTTATCCAAACATTGTTCACACACGGGTTCTTTGTACATCTGAAAATCCAAAGGAAGATCATTCATTTGGTTCAATTCCAACTGTCCTGAAGGCAACAGCACACCTAGAACTTGCCCATGCTTGCTGGTGGTGTCAGACAAACTGCCTTCTCTGACTTCCATAGGAGATTCCAGACAACAGGCTTGTTCTTTAGCATTACATTTCACTAGACTCTCAGCTGCAACTGTTTCTCCCAGTGTGTTCTGAGAAGGAAGAGTTGGACTGTGACAGGCTACCGCTCCAGTCTGGATGACATGGTCACTGTGTGCTGAAGGAACAGCATGATCAGGAAGATTTTGTAACAGAAGATGGTCTGGAGCTAGCTGGCATTCAGCCTGTGACCCCAAAGACTTCACAACTGTGGGATCAATTATCTCTGCTACATTAGATTTGTGAGAGCAAATTGAAGCAGGGGCAGAGACGGAGTGATCAAGTAATTGATTTGTGGGATTACAGATCTTGGAACTTAATCCTGGAGAATGGACTGGACTATTAAATCCATCAGAAGATGGTAAAGATGGCATTTCCAGTGAGGTAGTTTCTTTATCACTATTCTCTACACATGGATAGAAAGAGAAAGAAGTAGTTAGGATTGTAAGAGCTATTACATTTTCACATAATATAACAATTTTGGACCACAAGCAGTAAGGACACTTATCAGTTTGGTATGCCATTTCATTTTGGGAATGGTACATTTGAAGTGCAACTTTTTCAAGAATATACTGTAATTAGACCATATGCAACAGCACTACCAGAGCTCTTTGAATGAATGCAAATTTGGGGAACAACAAAGGCCCCAACATTACATACAGCCACTTTAACAGGACAAATGTTCAGGGTATTGTGTGTGAGTATGTGTGTATGGAAATGTGTACTAGCTTGAATAGCTACTTATTGGTCTGTTGAAGTTTAAAAGCAACTTCCTTAGAAGTTTCACATGTAATACCAGCTCCCCTCCCCTAGCTTTGTTTTTCATAACAAACAAGAGAATCCTTTCTTTGTCTTGTTAGCAGCAAAGATGTGAGAACAACAGCAAAGAGAAATATCACAAAATAATAGAAAGCCATTGTTTATTTGTTTTAATTCCTCGGAGTGGTGGATAAAAACAAGATATATAGAGTTCAGAAAATATTCACCATCAGATAACAATTCTAGAGTAAAAATGTGGACCTAAGTTACTTGATAGCTTTTGTCTTCATTCACTTAACATTTTTCTGTTCCAAGCTACTGATGTCTGCCATAAGGGGAGGAGTCAGGGAGCTGCAAATTCACCTCCACACAAAGTTAAATGAGTTCAAAACATCTGTTTTCATGCGGATAAAACAAGCAACCTATAACGCTTTAGTTACAGAACCCAAAAGGGCCTTTGAGAAAGACTTGCATTGGTTTAGAAAGGTCACACAGTAATACATAGATATTTGGCATTTATTCATGCAATTCAAATACATAATGCTGAATAACAAAGTTCTCCCAAGGAAGAATAAATTTTCAAGGTGTAAAATTTAGTACAACTAAAGTAATATGACTATGATTTAGTTGTGCCCAAAATACTTCAAATTAATCACAGCTTTGCATAATAAACTTACTGCAGGGGTTTAGGAACTGCTAGCCTTTTAAAAAAAAAATCAACTGCTATAATATGTTCATGGTTTATTTGTAAAATTCTGTACACACAGCCAATGCAAGCTGAAGTTATAGCCTCTTAGTTAAGAAGCTTAACATAACCATATAGTTAACCAGGTCTCTTTATATCTGTTGTCAGATAAAGCCCAACCAACTAGAGGCCTAGGGCTGCATATTGGTAATCTGACTTGTTGTCAACACAAATGAACTTCTTGTTTTATAAATCCAAAATGAATACAGCCTTTCACCTCAGAAGACCTGGGTTTGACTTAAGACAGGACACAGTGAGATGGCTTTGTCCTAGTTCTGTTTGTGTACATTGCAAAGTCACCCTACAGTTCATTATAACGAGTCATCTCTGTTCAAGAGTTTCAGTGTTAGGCATCATAGATGCCGTGGGTGATAAATGAGGTGCTTTAGGAAAGTAATGCAGGGAAGCTCATACAACTTTTTGGTCCCTCCTTTCCACAAACAAATGATTTAAACAAAAAAGTTTAAACGAGGAAAAAAAAAAATCACACTATAGGATTGTTACATTTAGAAAAAGGAGACAGAATGTTTTCACCCCATGTGAAAGGAATAAGCTTGTCAATTTCACATCACATAGGTTTCTCCATAATATTGTTTGAAGCAAGATGAACCCTGCTGTTGACAGTGTGAAAGTTGTAGTGAAAGCTCAGAAATGGGTAGCTATAAATACCTGATCTGTGGCCCACTCCAGCTGCAGTTAACACACACTATATGCATCAAGGCTTCTGATGTTCTGTTTGGATTAGGAAACACAACACACCAAACTTGTGTTAGCAATTCAAAGCACACAACATGCATGGTTATAGTCTTCCGACTACGCTCTCTCTCCCCTTTCCCACCTTCTTCCAAGACAGGTTCTGAACAGTGTGAGCTCCTTGCATTCACTTCCTTGCAGAAGCTCAGCTGGCCATTCCGGCATAAGAGTCTGTTCAGGCACTTTGCCATGTTGAGTCAAAAAGAAACTGCTCTTCAACCCAATTCAGGATTTTATTGTACTGTACTAGCTACACTTGATCGGTACAGCCGTTGGAGAAGCTACAGATTCCATAGAAATATGTGGTGCACGTTATTTGAATAGCTCACTGTGCAGACTGCTGGAAATACACAGCAGGCACTTTTCAGAGAAGCTGGAGCTGGGGCCAGTGCAACAGTGCATGAATTCCGCTCCCAGTTGTCAGTAACTTGCTCTGTGACCTGGGTACATCACTTATCCCCATGTACTTGTATGTCCACTTTACACAAGGAGAGAACACCAGCCTCATAATGGATGTGTGACCTCAAGATTGTAAGATGCTTGGATGAAAGGCATCAGAAGCACTTTGTCTCAGCCATCAATAGGTTTTCAGAACATGAGTGACCGGAACAGATGTAGCCAAGGGTCAAACATGACTAACAGCAGCTTTCTTCACAGAGGGAAGAACATGTTTGCTCAACTGCCAATTTGGTTATTAGTAACAATTTCTATTTCTCAGAATGCTTCACCAACAAGTTAAAATTACATTCATTTATTTTTGCTAAGATCCTATGTAAATGCATCAGCTCCCAAGCTCCTGTAAAATTTGCAGCATGACCTTCGGTGTCACCAGAGTCCCTACAAGAGATGGCATTAAAGTCTCTGTCCATGTTTCTTATTTCCAACCAGCTATTCAAAACTTCCGGCTGCCCTGCCTGATTTGTCTGTCCCTGTGCACAGGTTCCAAAACTCAGTGGCCTTTAACAGGACCAGCATGACAACTGAATTAAGACACACTGAATTGCTTTCCTTAATTTAAATCTTAAAAAATCTTCCACCTTTTAAATATAGAAATGGATTGGGTTCTGCTGACTAAACATGTGTACCTGGGATTTTTATGAAAGTTTATTATTCCTGTTCTGTAAGAAGTTTCTGTCTCCAAGTACCTGTTTCTATTGCTTTCCGTTTAAATAAAGCCAGGGTGTGGAGTTTCTGAAGGAGAATGCATTGGGTCACTCCTGCGCATCTGGTCTTAACTTTACTCTAGCAACAATTTTGCTTAGTGGTATGTTTTTAATTCTGTAAATCCTCCAGCCTTCCAGATTGTCTCAGTCTTTTGCAGGGATGCAGTGAGGCCTGTGCCACCACATGTAAGTGGAAAAACAAGACAGAATTGTGTTCTTCCAATCTGTAATAAAGGTCTAACCACTCAGATACATCAGGGAGTTGTATCCATTTAGGCAGCAGCAATAGCTGGTGTCCTGCCAGACACCTGAACATGGAATTTTCAAACACCAAAGACATGGCAGAATCTGCAGAAGGATTTGTTTTCAAACACTGTCAAGGAAATCAATACAATTATCGGAACTATAATTTCCTTCCAGATAAAGCGCACCATATGCGATAGGGTTTCCCTTGTGAAGGGCAGCAGACTGCCGGGGGTTCTCAAATGGTGGGGTTGGCCTCTCCAGGGAGGCATGAACTGTGTGTGATGTATGAGATTTTTAAAAGCACTCTGGCTGTCAGCCCTGGGCTGCTGAGGCTTGTGCAGAAGGGCTGTGCTCACGCAAGAGGGAAGGGGATTGGATAAAGGGGATAGCTGGAGCCCTCCTTCTGCACTGCTGCTGTCCCCCCGCCAATCCCTCATCAGGAGGCAGCCCAGGCTTGGCCTCTCCTCTGCCACTAAGCTCAAGTGGAGCTGTCAGTTCTGGGGTGACAGCAATGGGGAGCTAAATCTGCTATGACAAGTAATATTGATCAATATCACTTTTCACATTGCCACCCTTACTTCTGCACTGTTGCTGGCACAGTGCTGCCTTCAAAGCTCGGCACCTGCCCAGCAACTGCAGCTCTTGACTCTGCCTGCAGAGTATATGAACTTTGGGAAGAATGGGGTAATGCATAAGCAACTACAGAACAAAGAAGGTGGAGAGAAATTAAAAGTTTGAGAACCACTGCTCTATATTTACTGCTAGACTTTGTAGTCATTTTACTGTCAATATCCTAAAATCTCATTGATTACAGGGAGTTGGCATCATTTGAATCCAACTGGGAAGAAAGGATCGCACACTGCTGGAAGAGAACAAATCCTTGAACAGAAATGGAATACACATGGAGAAGTTCTTCGCGCTAATGAGTAAATTGTTATTATCTCTGCAGAATACCAAGATGACACTGGCACAGTAGCTGTGTTTTCACAGGCACTTAGCTGCCAAACTGGCATCTAACTCCAAATTCCAAGGCCTTCTGAGGTGGGTCTGAAAAAGACTGAATAAGGCTCAGGACTAATTCAGGTGTGTTCAAATGGGAGCTTTACTGACCTAATGATGTACAATGTAAACTCTGATGTATCTTGAGCCAAACAGGAGTCAAAATCCAAACCACTACAAAAGTGCACAGGACGTCCTGCAGGAAGGTGAGTCTTTTGGGGCTGAACTATATCCTCTCTCTCTTTCTCTGCTTTCTTGATGCCACATAGAAGCAGCTAATATTTTGAAAGGAGGAAGACGGTGCAAGAGTTAATATTATGACAACTCAATATGTAGCTAAATATTGCCTACAAATGTTAGGTTGCTGACAAATGAGCCTAAAGCACAGTTAAATCACTCAAGATAGGAAAAAAAGGAAACCTACCTCACTTCATTTTATACATATACCCGAGTTTTACAGTGTTCCACAAGTGTTGTAGAACAACTAGAGATGGTCTGTTCTTTTTAAATTCCCTTGGTTAAAACACTCAGCTTCCTTCAGAGCTAAAACATTACCTCACCCAAAAGAGGAGACTGTTGGCAAATGAACAGCTGAAAATTTTAAATTATATTAGCACAATTTTTTATGACAACAGACAGAACTATGTAGCACTTTAAAGACTAACAAGATGGTTTATTAGGTGACGGGCTTTCGTTTCAGCTAGACGAGACTAACACAGCTGCATCTCTATCACTATTCTT